GGAGTTACTCTTTCCGTTCGCGGCCTTGCGGCGCCCTGTAGTGTGCACGACCAACGTATGACACGGTAATCAGTCTAGATATCATCATGATATAGTTGGCCACTCTACGCTATGCACGCTTTTGCCTTAGCTCCAAACATGCACCAGCCATTCGTGAAAAACAGGTCCCGATTTTACCAACTTCAGTTTGCGCCATCTATCGGTAGGATTTGAAGCTGAAAACACGGGGTGTCACTCCAGGATAATGACACCCCAGAGGGGTTTCAACGGGGGTGTCTCAGCGACACTCCAATTTTTTGGCCTGCAATTTTTGGGGAGTTCGCTAGCCGAACCTCTCCCAAGGGGGTCATGTACATTTTTGCGGCGTCAAAAGGTAATGGGGCTCCCGTGTCGGGTGTCACAACACCCATGACATCCTAAAATCATGAAAACGGAGCCTAATTTAGGAGTATTTTGGAGTATGTGGTGTCAGATTGTAAGAAATGGGGTTCCCCGATTTTTTTCAGTGTGGTGTCCAATGACGTCACACGGTGTCTCAGGTGACGTCACTCCGGGGCACAGAGGTATAGTCGGTCAAATATGTATCTTTCCCGGCCGCCAAGTGGCGCTACGGTCTGGATTCGATAGTTGGCTGAGCCCACACCCCAGCTGACCTGGCGGCCCTGTGACGTCACGCGCGGGGGGCGGAGCTACACAGCGGCCGGCTGGAGAGTGACCGCAGACCAGCACTGGACGGCCTCGCCGCCGGGTGCTCCGGCTGGTCTGGCCGGGAGAGGCGAGCAAGCGGATGCGTTAGGAATCTAACGAATGTGAGGGCAGCGCGATGGTCTAATGATGGCTGTGCTTTCATGCGCCGTGTAAATTGTAGACTGAGTGCTATGAGCTATCAAAGGATTATCTGGTGTTTCAACAGGGGTCGCTGACCTAAAAATGAAGATGGTTGCTCTTGATACGATCGAATGCTTGGTGATATGATGATTAGCGCAAGAGAAATATTTAATCGAATTATGACCGGTTATTTTTTGATAAAGCAAAAACTTTTTTCATTTTTTTTTTGGCATTAACGGGAAAGCGTTAAGCCATATCTACTGAAAATCTTAACCTGCGCCGGGCCGGGGGGGGGCGATTTGCGCCCCCCCCCCAGGTTTTTCGCAGATAGCCGAAAAACGGCGGCGTGCAGCGCCACCAAATTTTGCATACCTGTTTTTCCATCTATTGCGCATACTGTGTGCGAATTTTGACCTTATATGACTTAAGGTCAGGTCAACAGGTCGGTTTGAGTGACCTAACGTCACAAAAAGTTTGAACTTGCACCAAAGCTACAACTGTTGACCGATCGATATGAAACTTTCAGGAGTTAGTAAGGGTGACAATATCCACAAAATGTATGTCTCGGATTTTTTTATCTATGACCTGAGGTCAGGTCAATCTCACAACCTCCCCATTATAAGTCAATGGGATAAATTTCAACTTCATCCGAATGCCACCCGATCCACACAATATATTCAGGATCATGGTGTTGCAGGTCCCTGGTGGTCATTCTACCGAAAGATGTCACCGGTGACCTTTGGAAGGTGTCGCTAGGTCATCCGAGGTCACCTGAGGTCACCAGCGGGGGTTTTCTGCAATAACTTTTGAGTGAATAGAAATAGAGACTCCGTTCGACGTTTATCATGTTTGTCTGATCAATGCGGATCGAATGATATGCAACATGACCTATTTCAGTCAGGTCATGACCTTGACTTTAGGTCAAATTTTCAACTTGACCTTTCGAGGTCACATGATATAGCTTTCGATGCGCTTTGACAAGCTAAGAACGATGACGTTCGAATCGATCCTTTATCTTGTCTGGATCAAAAGCTATTTAAGAAAAAGTATCAGAAGTAAAAACGTTTTTTATCGCTCTTTCGAACGCCGCCTACCGCTTGTCTCTACGACGCTCAGGAGTCGAGTTAGACGGGGGGGGGGGCGTAAAACCGCCCCCTCCTAAAACCGCCTGTTGTGTTACAGATAGAGCACCGGCCCGGCGCAGATTAAACGTTTTCCTTGATTTTTTTGTCGTTTCATAATGATATATTTTATAAAATTTTAATATCATTATATCAAAAATAGGTAAATGTATTAATAGCGCTATGGCATCGCGAGAAATCTGCAAGGCCAGCCTAGTCATGACGACCAGCCGGCCAATCGCTAAACAACCTAAAATAACTTTACCTATTGAAAAAAAATATACATGAAGTCGCGTTATGGTGGTATTTTCCGGTAAATATGCAACTACCAGCGAGATATTTCGTAGCGCTTCAATTCGGTAACGTGTAACATTTAGTCTGTATATTTATAGTATCTGTGTTTCAGGTAAATAATTGGCGATACGGTTTGATATCGTTGCTTACAACCAATGGACGGGTCGTGGATGCACACGAATAAACAAAGTTCAACATGATCCGGTAGGTATCTATTCAACCATAGACGACGAAACGTTTGTAAATGGCTAAAATCAAACTGATGCGAACATAAAAAACAACAAACTGATGATAATTTATCTAAAACAACAGTCAACATCTCCAAACGTAAACTTCTTCTTCACGTCGCTTGAAGCTCCACTCCATGGATGACATCAGTCACCTGTAACAAAACCTGCTTTAGAAAGACAAGAAATCATGGGCGGATCCAGAGGGGTGCCAGGGGTGCCAACATCGGTCATCAGGGTGCCAAAACTGAGTTTGGCACCCCTTTTTGCTCCTCAGACCTGCATACACATATGCAGTTCTTGTAGAGACTCCGGACTTTGGCACCCTTTTGGCACCCTCCCCCTTTGGAAATGGCTGGATACGCCTCTGCAAGAAATTAAAACGCACCACCTTATTCATATTATGCTAGGTGAAGTCCGTTTTTTCTTATATTTTACCCTCACTTCAAGATACACAGATAACAAAGCACGATACTTTACAGGGTAACTTACAACAGTGGCGGCGGAAGCGCGGGGGCAGAGGGGGCATTTGCCCCCGTAAAATTCTGGCGAGGGGCGCCTGGCTTTTCTGCAAGAGGACGGACCAAATAAGGGTTATCGTGTGATTGCAGATAAATGCGTCAATTTTTTAAGGGCGACTCTCTGTGAGGGGCGCTAATTTTCCTGTGCCCCCGCACCCCAAAATACCTTCCGCCGCCACTGACTTACAACCACAAAATTAAAATAAAGCCAAGGCTTGATTTTCCAAAAGTGTCTTTTCATCGGTCACGACATGGTCCGTGCTTTATTTACAACACATCTTGGAGTGAGGATCAAAGATGTGAAAAAAAAAAAACAGACTATAGTAACAATGTTTGGTGACAATGTTACAACGGTGACAATCATTCCATATGCGTTATAGGATGCTGAAATGGCATGTGCGGGCGAGAGTTAACCATATAAACATCTTACACAAACTACTGACATATGTGTGCACAGGCATTGCTTGCACACTTTCAACAGTTGTGCAATTTATTACTTAGGTTTCTGAACTGCAGCTGAAGTTCTAAATTACCTAACTTAAACATGGGCTGTTTAACCCGCGCCGTGCTGGTGGCCTGAACTTTCCGCCGAGTGCTGGGGGGGGGGGCGTTTTCACGCCCCCCCGTCTAACTCGGCTCCTGGGCCACGTAGCGACACGCGGTAAGCGGCAATCGAAAAAGCGTCAAAAATAAGGACGAAAACACTTCGGTCATTTTTTGGGTCAGGTCAAAGGTCAGGTCACCAGAGGTCACCAAAGGTAAAATGTTGACTATTTCAACATTTTGGAAACTGCCAACGGCTATCTCGGGAACCGATAGAGCTACAGCGCCGCGGAAAAGCGCATTCGATAGCCCTTTTACAGACCTTTCTGAGTAATGTTCTCAGATTTGACCTCAGGTCAACGGTTTAGCCTCCAGAGGGCAAAAACTCCAAAAATAGCCGTTTTTACGAAAAACGTTTTTTCGTCAATAACTTTTGACTCATAAGCGCCATGACATTACTTTTGCCAGCATCGTGTTCCTCTCGTCGAGACGCGTCGAATGAACTATTTGTTGACCTTGAAAGGTCATTTTGAAAATTTGACCTCAGGTCAAGGTCATGACCTGACCGAAAAGGGTCATGTTGCATATCAGTCGATCCGTATCGTCGAGCTGAACACATCTGACGTGTTTTCACCGCTCTAGCACGTCTCTATCAAAAGTTATAGCCAAAAAACTGCTGGCGACCGTTCATGACCTGAGATGACCTCAGGGGCACACAGAGGGGTCACAGGTGCATTTTTCCTATTCAGTGTGTCATGTTTACCTATGAACCGATGTTTGAGAGCGTTTTGAACGATATTCGTCCAAAAGAGGCGCATTTCAATTTTCTCCCATTGACTTATAATGGAGAGGTCGCAAAATTGACCTGACCTTAGGTCACAGATATCAAAAATCCGAGATATACATTTTATACATACTGTTACTCATATCAATCGCTGAAAGTTTCAAAGTGATCGTTCAGTCGGTGTAGCTATAGCGAGCCTTTGAATTTTTTCTGAGGTAAGGTCACTTGACGTGACCTGGTGACCTGACCTTGAACGGCCTAGGTCTGAAATTTTCACAACATGTGCGGAAATGATGTAGGAACACGTGTACCAAAAACGGCGGCGCTGCGCGCCGCCGTTTTTGAGATATTCGCGAAAAACCTGAGGGGGGGGCGTAAAAACGCCCCCCCCAGCACGGCGCGGGTTAAAGGGTTGTTCTATATTTTCTTTATACTCACACCTCTTTTCACCTAGGGCCTCAGATGGTCGCTCCTCCTGCGTCGAGGACGTCTTGCAGCCGCCCTGGCATAGACGCCGCCAGATTCTCGAACATCAACGGGCGGGACCTCAGCTCCTCCCACTTGAGTTCCACGCGGCGCCACAGTTGGTCGGCAGTTAGGTCTCGAAGGCCGCCCTCCTCTCCCAGCTCCCGGGCCATGGCAGCCCAAACGTTCTCAATCACGTTTAGATCGGGACTTTTCGGGGGCCCATTCCAGCGCTGTCACCTGTAGGTAATGAATCATTTTATCATTTGTGATGAGAATATCGCCCGTGCAGTGGCTTACTAAGCAATCATATCTATACAAAGTAGCCTAATACTTTCACGATAGTTGTTTCCATACTTATGCCAAAAGAACATGAGGAGGAGTGGGTGAGCGAGAGAGAGAGAGAGAGAGAGAGAGAGAGAGAGAGAGAGAGAGAGAGAGAGAGAGAGAGAGAGAGAGAGAGAGAGAGACGCATGCGCACACTCTACGCATTCTACTACGCATGAATTTACTTGGCCTTCGTGGTCTTGAAACCAGTTTTTAGTGATGGTGGCGGTGTGCTGCGGGGCATTATCTTGAACAATGACGTGAGGGTGGTCACCCCGCATCTCCTCGAGCGTAGGGAGAAGGACCTGTAATGAGCAATAAACAACATCATGCAGTGTATCCGAAAAGCAAACACCTTCCATGCAGCAGCTTGAATTATGCATTTCAAATTCCAAACTATTCGTATTCTCTGCTCTAATCTGATGGCATCTGTTTTATCGAAACAGTTCGATGCCGACATATTGGTTACTAGGGTGTGTCACTAATCGCAATGCAAGGTGCTCCATCGATTTTATTGTGCTCCACTCATGTGGAAAGGGCGTGGCATTGTTAATTTCCCGCAAATTTTAACCCCCAGGCGGCGCCGAGCGAGAGAAGTTTGCCCTTTCTCACAACATAGGCGACCCTAGCGCCCCTGGCGGCTGTTTGCGAAACTAACAGGCCGTTGACTGTATGGGCTTATCCCTGCTTTCTGTAAGCGCGTCTAGGGACAAATAATAGTATGGGCAGATTGCAGAGAGTGCAAGCTAATGACGAATACCTATAATGAATATAATATATTGTCACAGGGGCCCAGGAACATTCTTCAAGTTGGGGTGCAAGCCCAAAATACCTGACATGACGCATATGAAATAGTAGCGTAGTCAGGGGGTCCCAGGAGGCACGTGCCATCTAGTCCCCCCCCCATGGGCGTAGGAACGGCTGGAACATTGTGGGTGCATGGGTGCAGAAATCCAGCCATGGCCGGTGAGGGGGGGGGGGGGCGACACCCGAGCGAAGGCTCGTAACGAGCTTTGAGGGTGTACCATGTCGAAAAGGTACCAACCGATAAGTGCATTTGGAAGCATTGATCCTCGCATGTGTAGGGGGGTCGGATGAACCCCCCCCATGGTTGTTCGCAAATAACTCGCGCAAAAAGCGGCCGAGCGCGACGAAACTTTTAGTACCCTCGAGTTGATCAGTTTTACACATTGACCTCTATAATACCTAGACGGCCCACTCACTACATTTACCCTTTCCCAAAACGGCAGCGCCGCAAGTGGTCAGAGATTCTCAGACACGCGCAGTGGGAGGGGAGGGGGATTTCGCCCACCCCTCCTGTTTTTCGCCAATAACTCGCGCCGCAAACATAACATTAATGTGAAATTTTGGCTACCTGGCCAGAATTGAATTGCGGATCTTCTCGTGCAAGAAATAAGGAAATTGCCTCACAAATTTTCTAGCAATAGCGGTGTAAAGTCAAACATTCTGCCGCCGCCGCGGTGCGGCGGCGCGTCGGCCGGCGTCAGCCGTTACGCGCCGCCTGAATTGTAGACTGTGCCGGGGCAGGACGGTTCCGTCTTTACATCGCGCTCCTTAGCGCTGATTATATTCGATTCGTGTCAAATTTTGCGTGAATACTAAGAAATGTACAGGCAATCTTATGGTCAAAGAATTTAAAAAATCGGCCGGTAAAAATTTCAGTTATGACTTATGAGAGTGTAAACACAAAATTGTGATTGCCGTATTTCCCGCGTCTGCCGGTCCCGCTTCAGCCAGCGACATCATATCCTTAGCAGGCTTCTTATTGCCATTTTTATTGTTGGATTTACTAGAAAATTCATCATACATTCTCACAAATGTATGTTCTTTCGTATAGTGAAAGAACAAAGAAAATCGGCCGGTAACTTTTTGAGTTATTGGCGTGTAAACGCAAAAAGTCGCTCATATTTGACCACATTTGACCTCATTTTACCGTGAAGATATTGACCTAGGGTCATGAAATTCACATACAACAGAGGTCTTTAGGGCCCCCACCTACCATCCAAATTTCGTCTTTCTAGCTCCAGTGGGAGCTGAGATCTTAAGGGGCGACTCCCCCCTTCCACTGGGGGTGTTAACCCGCGCTGGGCCGGGGGGGGGGGGGTGTTTGAACACCTCTCTGCGGTTTTCCGCAGATATCTCAAAAGGTCATAACCTGAGGTCAACTCTGAGGATATGTTGGCGAAAGAGCGTTAAAAGAGCTATCCAATGCGCTTTTTCGCGGCGCTGTAGCTCTATCGGTTCCCGTCCCGAGTTAGACGTTGGTAGTTTCCAAAATGTTGAAATAAGCAGCATTTTACTTTTGGTGACCTCTGGTGACCTGACCTTTGACCTGTCCCAAAAAAATGAAAAGGTCCTTGAGTTGTGAAGGTGCGCACTGCGCATGTTTCGGACTTTGACCTCACCTCGGGACTTGACCTTTTGGGCTAGGGGGTCAAAAGTTGCACACAAGACGTGCTATTTAATTGTGCGCATGCATGCCAGGTTCGCCATGGGTTGCATGCCGCCGTTTTCAAGATATTCGCGGAAGTCAAGTAGGTGGGGAGGCAGATTCCGCCTCCCCTCCGGTGTTGCTCCGGTGCGCCTTATCACCATTGTTACCGTCGTGCTGAAAAAAACGAGCCTGATGTCATATGAGAAAAGCATGATTTGGTTTGAGAAAAGTGGTAAATGTACCACGAACACGATATTTCCCGCTTAAATCGCATTTAGAAAAGTGCCACCCATCATTGCCGACTGTGGCGGTCGGGAACTTCTGACCACTTCCAGGTGGCGCTAGTGAGCCTCCATGCGGGAACGACTCGGCGCTGGTGGCGCCGCGCGAGTGGGCCGTCTAGGTACTAATAGAGGTCAATGGTTTTACACCTACTCTAACAATTTCATGACCCTGACCCAAAAGACCTTTGACCTGTGACCTGATTCTCGAGACCATGTTCGGCCGGAATCGCGATTTGGCGTATGTATGTCAGCTCACATTATCCGCGCGTTTCCAGTCTTTTTGTGATTGTAGACGTCCAAACATGTGAAATGATGTTCTTCCCATGCATCACGGTGGGTGTGAAGATAACCTGAAGGTCAGGTCAGGTCATTGACCTTTGATGACCTCGGTTCACTTTTTCGAGTTTTACATGTTTCTACGGTAGTTTATAGGGCTGATTTCGAATTTAGCATCCATTTGAACGTTTACGAAGTAGTTTTAGTGCTTTCGTGACATTCTACGACGCCGTCAGTGGTAGTTGACACCTACTATGGATAGCCGGTAGGACGCCTAATGATTGACCTGACCTGACCTGACCCGATCTGGCCTAAATGCATGAAGAAATCATCTGTGATCAAAACTAACATCAGATATTTGTGATCAGCACCCCGAAAAACCCGATAACAGCTTCACTTTACGCAGTTCTAGCAGGTCCCGATTTTCCCGACTTTTGGAATATTGACCTGACCTGGAAGGTCAACCAATGAAGCAGGACCTTAAAATTGGGTATCATCCGCTTCCTCTCGTCACGGGCAACACCCTCGTTTTTTTCCGCGAAGCTCTAGCTCGATCAGGGGCCGAACGGCAGGGGGTCCGACCGACCCCCTCCCCAGGGGCGGATCCAGAAAATCTCCAAGGGAGGGCCATTAGAAACCAGGAGGCCCCCCCCCATAATCCCACCTGTTGGAGGCCCCATCTTCCCACTTGTTGGGCCCCCCCCCCCAAAAAAAAAAACTGCGTCTATTGAGCTTATCTAGCTGTTCAGGCAACATCTCAACATCTGCACTGACAACCAAAACGATTCTCTATTCCCTTTGATCATGGTGTGTCATGCTCCTATAACTCTGCCGTTTTCCTGGCGGAATGCCCTTAAGATACTCAAATGATTCCTCAAATGATTCCTTTTAAGCATATCAGGGGTTTTGGTCTAAAACAACACCCTGATCATTTTCTTCGAACATACCCAAACTATACCGTCATTCTTTAAATACCTCCCTTGAATTCTTCTAATATACCCTAGTGTACAGTCTCTGCCGCTACTGTCAGATACCGTACCTGTGCCGCTCGGCGCCTCCGGCGGTGACCGGTCGGCGGGCCGGGACTGGCCGGCCGGGCGGGCGAGGAGGACGGGCAGTCGCTCCCTGGACGTGTTGCTGACCACTAACCCGCGCCCCGCTGGGCTATTCAGCCATACGCGCCCTGCTGGGGATAGAACCTTAACCCTCGTTTTGGATGTGTTACGATATATAAAGGGAAATCGGACGAGGAAGCTGGGAGTAATGAGGCAGTTTCTGAGCAAGTTCTACGACGAATATACCTAGGGCATTATTATTTTCCCTTCTGGGTCTATGTGGGGTCTAATGCAAGAATACATTGAGATCAGTGATGGAAATCACAGAATAATAGGGGAGTGTTACGTGGTATAATGCGAGTATAGTTTGCAAAATATTCCCCTTATACGCTTAGAAGGAATACTAGAGGTTTCGATGTAAGGGTATTTTGGTAGGTTAAAAGGAGTGTACTGTGGGTATCGCAGGGAATAGAACAGGAATCATATTCCTTTCCTCTTCGGTACTTACTAGGGTATATTAGAAGAATTCAAGGGAGCTATTTAAAGAACAAGGGTATAGTTTGGGTATATTCGAAGAAATGATCAGGGTGTAGTTTTAGACCAAAACCCCTAATATGCTCAAAAGGAATCAAAAAGGTTCTCAGTGTAGGGTATATTAGAAGAATTTCAGAGTGATATTCAAAGAAAGTGTATTTGGGGTATATTCGGAGAAATGATCAGGGTGTTGTTTTAGACCAATTCCCCTAATATGCCTAAAAGGAATCAAAACAGCTCTCAGTGTGTGCAGGCTTGGAGGCCCTCTGTGCAGGTTAGGAGGCCCTGTAAAAGTGGTCATCTCTGTGAGTATAAGAGACCTCCAAGTTATGAAAAGCTTTACCAATCTTCTAACAAAGAAGTCTTCTCAGCTAGTCTTCTAAGAAATAACTAAGTGGGTAGGTTAAAAAAAAAAAAAACTCATCGGATTTCGGCCACTTTATTTTCAGGAGGCCCCCTTTTCAGCTTTTTAACCCGCGCACCGACGGGGGTCTGCGCCAACTTAGTACCGACGGGGGGGGGCGGATGACCGCCCCCCCCTGAGATCTCGAGAACGAAGCAAGATAGCGACAAGCGGTAAACGGCATCGGATACGCACGGTCAAGATCTACAATTTTTACTTAGGTCATTTTCAGGTCAGGTCAAAGATGACGTCACAGGGGTCGAAAAAGTCAAAATGGCGGCGCTAAATATGGAGAGAG